TAATTACTGAAAGAAATTACTGAAAGAAATTACTGAAAGAAATTACTGAAAGAAATTGAAATCAGCATCCAGAAAGCAGCCAGGAGGCCCTGGCGGTCACACAGAGCTGAAAGGCTGCATTTACCTCCTGAAATCTCCTTTCCATCCCACCTTTGTGGCTGCATGTCTGGGGGCAAAAAGCAGCTTTGATGGGCACTTGGAAGTTTTGCTCTTGCGCTGTGGAAATATCGAATTACAGAAGGCTGGGMAGCTCTAAAGCCACACTCACTGCATGCCCTGGCAGCGCTGGGAGCTGGCATTTCACAGCCTTTCCAAAACTGGACCAGTGGAGCAGGGAGGGTTTAATGAGAGCTGTGTGAAATCAGCACCTTTGATTGGGTTGCTAATTGCCGGAGCTCTGCTGGCCGAGTGCATTCTGAATGAGTGCATTCTCTCACTGACACTAAAATCTTGCTTTCAATACAAAGTGGACAAATAAAACATCCTTCAGCAGCAGCTCTGAGCTCTGTGAGGCTCCAAAAATCTGAGCAGCTCAATGAAATCAGGGCTGAGGCAGAGTTTTGCTTCCTCAGCACCGCAGCTTCACTCTTAGGGTCTTTAAAATCAGCTGGATGGGAAAATATCAACCCTTGGCAGCCCCAAAGGTCACCCCAGCCACAGAAAAGCAGCAGCAGCGCTCAAATTTGGGTGGTTGAGCGGCCAGGGATGGCACAGGCTCTCTGGTCACTGCAGCTCTCAGCTTTGCAGGCTCTGGACACCCAATTGCAGCGATTTTTTTCTCGGCAGAAAGACGAATTGTGCTTTGTTTGCAGCGCTGGAGATCGGTCAGAAAGGCAGGGGGAAACAAAGGCAGGAAGAGCCCGTGGGAGCTGCATCTCCCCAGGGGCTCAGGCAGCTCCTCCCAGCKCAGAGAGAGGGAACCTTCACCTCCTGTCACCTCCCTCTGTCAGCCCGAGCCACCTCAGACAGCAGATGGCACCCGGAGGGGGCTGGGTGACACATGACAGCGAATATATTTAATGTTCTATTTGCATTCGCTGCTAAATTTGTCCCCCCGAGACGGAGTGTGCAGAGCCTTAATCAGCACACAGCTCCCAGGAGGTCTGGGGGAGCCAGGGGGCTGCTCCCCCGGGGATTTTGGGGTCTGGAGGAGGGACAGGACACAGAGMAGCTCCCAGGAAAGGCACAGATGCTCTGCAGCAGTGATCCTTGGAGCTGAGCCGGTTCCTGCCTGAATTTCAGGAAAAGCCACTCAGTTCTGCTCCAGCAGTGCCAGAGGAAGCTGCTGTGGGATGGAAGGAAATCCCAAATGAAGATGTTCCAGTCCTCCCCTTGCCAAATTCACAGATTGACATGGAATGGCAGCACCTGGATTCCTGCAGATTGAAAGATTCTTCCCAAACTGCATTTTGTGCCCTGAGTTTGGTGACAGCAGAGCTCTGAGAGGCAGCAGAAGGGACAGGAGCAGGGAATGGCAGGAGGAAGCTGAACCTCGGCCACAGGGGCAGGTCCTGCTGCCTCCCAGCCACAGGAATTCCATGATCAAAGCCCTCTGAAAAACCCATTAAAGTCTGCACTTCCTCTGGGGGTGAAATTCCGTACCAGCACGCACATTTCAGAGGTAATTCTGCTACTTTWAAAACAAAACCAGGGGAAACAGCTCAAGGAAAGCACCATGAAAGGGAATGAGAGAGCCTCTTATCAAACCAGGGTAATGACACACTCGAACAAGGTGAACCAATCATTCATTTTGCACCAAGAATTTCCCCTTTTTTGATGGAAAATCCAAGTGTTTCAAGCAGGCACACAGCTCAGCCTAAAGAGCTGGAAAATATGTGCTCCTCAGTGGGGAGCTGTGATATATTTCCCCTTTTCTGTGCCAGATTCGGAGCGTTCAGCCAATATAGAATTAAATGGACCTTGGCAAAGCAGCTTCCTGAGGAGCATAATTAGCTGGTGGCTCRGAGTGCTCTCTAATTCAATTAGCAGCACCATTTATCAGAGCCAGCTGAGATTTACATTTGCACTGGCTGACGTCAACGGGAGACTTGCAGGGAGTCCCAGCAGCCTCCAGTGCAGCAACGGCGAGCGGGGCTGCTGGGGTCAGATATTGTCACACAGAACTGCTGGGGTCAG